ACTACGCATGCTTCAGTAGCGAAAACGAACGAGCAACTGCCCATAATATTTTCCAAAAGGCTATGTCTTTACAAGATTATGAAGACACAAAACACAGTACCTCCGTGTCTGTTGGGGGTGAAGATTTGTTGGAAAGTTGGCAAAGAGATCCTCCTCATGATTGTAGTCAGTGTGAAAATGTCAATGAAGAAGATGACAATGAAGAAGAAGATGTCTAGATAAATAACAATAACTAAAGATGTATGTCTTCATTTGAAAGTGGAACAGCTACCCTACAGCTTCAACATGAGTGGACTGATAAAACATCATGTTAGTTTCTTAACAGTGTTAGCAGAAGCTAATCCTGCTCAGAGAAAAGCTATGCTGACTCATGCTTCTTCAGAACAATTCCTATCAATTCTTACTCTTGTGCATAATATTCTCATGGGTAACATAGAGGTGACAGAAAAAGATAAAACGTGGTTGTCTCGTCGCAAGAAGGCCATTCGCCTGTTAGCTAACAAGGGTGTCAGCAGACACAGAAAACGTGAACTCCTCATCTTACACCATTCAATTCTACCTATTTGCATAAGGAGCTATCTATCCTACCTCACCACTCTACAACATGAGCAAGCCAATGATTCTTTTGACAAGAGAAAATTACCAGAGACTGGTGTCAAAACAAGAACAAGAGAAAGCGAATCCGACAGTGAATCCGACAGTGAATCTGACAGTGAAACCTCCAGTGAGTCCAGTGACAGTGAGTGATGGTAATGAAGAGCATGACTCATCTCTACAGCCAGATCTTAATGTGATGTTACGAGTTCCAGATCAACTCATTCAAGGCATTTCATCTTCAAATTCTGTTGGCAAGCTGATGTCAATGTGGTTCTTTTTGGAAAACAATATTACAGCTGGAAACATTGGATTAACAGAAAATTTGCAACTGGTGTTGGAGAGTGGAAAAGTGTTGTATGGTACCAACATTGTGGACTTAATTCGGTTTATGATCATGTCTCCTAAGGAAACATACACCACCAGGATATAATAAGTTTCATAAACTGTTAAAGAGCTTGCATGCACCAAAACAACTGTTGAAAAGAAGAACAGAACACAAAAGTCAGTCAAAGATTTTATATATCAAAGGAAAAGCAGTTAATGGTGTGCCTGGAACAACAAAGCTGAGAGCATTAGAGGTTCTGTAGTGTTCATGCTTTTTTTCAATAAACACATAAATTACATTTTTATTGTTGTTGTTGTCTTTGCTCAGTGACTCATAGAGCAATTAGCACATCATCGTGCACATAAACACACACACACACACACACAGTGGATGAATAACACCTTCAGTCATTGTGGTGTATCCTATGACACGTGCACACACGTGGCTTTTTCTCATATTTCTTCTTATGCACTTGTATTCTCACAGGACAGGTGGCAGTATGAACCATGAATCTATGGTAGGTGTATTTCAGCTTGGTATTGCAATAGACACACGTAAACAGTCCTGAACTGTCTTCCCCATCAGCATCCACAGGTAGATAGCCGTGACAGGTAGTGCAGATATATGATGGTTGTTCCATCTGTGAATGAAAAAAGAACAGACATGGAAACTGCAATGTCAAACTAAAAAGTTGATGTTCAAGTGTATAATTATGAACATAATTTTAAAGAAGTGGAAACACAAAGTGGAACATACCTGAGGTTGATTTCCTCTACTGTGATTTCATCTACTGCTTTCCTAATGGTTCAGTAAGCAATTATTCTGGTGAATAACCATAAGGAACACTATAAATACCATCTTCTAAAATAAAACGTTTGTTGTCTATGGCTGTCAATGCTACTTTGGTATGATGTTCCGTGTACAGAGTGTTATTATGTGACCTAATGAGATTAAAGGAACATGAGACAGGTTTCCCATCAAACAGACAGTCTCTAAACATTTCGTGTCTGAGAAATTTTTGATGACAGATTTCTTTATACCTTTGGCTGTTTTTCTCAATGAGTTCTTTGTCTTTTGCATTAAGAAAGAGTACATCTTACTTTTCAAACCACAAAATTCTAAAATAATGTTTCCCACCTGCTTCATCCTTCATCTTCCCAGTGACTTTGCGATTATGATCAGAATACAATCCTTTTTGGATCTTCTGGTGCATAATTGGAAGTGTCAAATAACTCAAGTTTCCTTCATAAAAACATAGGGGTCCAGGAGAGGTTCATGCGGAGGGGCATGGACTTGCATGAACAGACTGTCAGTATCTGTCATGAGCAAATCCAAATGTTCATGTCCATATTGATTTTGCATAACGTCATAGTAAAATGAATAGATTTCATATTTGGCCAAGTCCAGAATGGTAAACCCAACAGTAATAGGCTGATCTAATCGAACAGACACCTTTTCCATTTCTACTGCCACCACATCCTCTGAATAAATTTTAAAGTTTTTGAAGTTGGATTTTGCACACAGTTTTTGAAGTTTTGCTTGTTGGGTGACCAGCTGCACTGTTTTGTGTTTGCGTTTATTCATGCAGAAACGTCCAAACACACAGTTGTTCATCAGTTTGTAACGATCTTTGTCACAATCGTCCTTTGCATTTTTGCGATTTCTCAAGTTGAGCTCCACGTAGGGCTTCAACCATGGGCCTTGGGTAAATTTGAGAACTCTGTGTATTTGCTTTAACACTAAACCATGCTTTAGATACAACTGTAAGGTTTTGAAATGAACCACATAATTGGTAGGTCTTTCAAGGTACAAAACAGTTTTCTACCAGATGATTTTGTAGGAAGTTTATCCATGTCTTTTTTGAGGAAATGAGCCAGCAATTCTTTGTGTTTCTCTGAAAACTCCCCAAAAGAGATATCATCATGAGTTGGAGCCATAGGGAAAGCTGCATGAGATTTGTGTAAGTGAGGAGGATACATCAAATCCACTTCCAAGATATAACCTGTATCACCCTGAGTATCTACATTGTACCAGTCTATCTTACTGAACTCTGTGGATGGGATGAATTGATAGTTTCCAATGGGGAGAGGTTGTAACATGACAGTGGCATACAATGAATTCACATCAAAGTAGAGAAGGGTGGAAGTGTCTTTCTCTGGGTCAGATTGTTCCATATGGTCATTGTTGGCTTCAGCATATTTCTTACCAATGACTGACACTCCACCACGAATAGAATTTTCAATGAAATTGTAGGTGTCAACCTCTGTGAATAGATCCAATTTTGCTCCCGTGATTTTCATAGCTGCGTCCAAACAGAAACCAGGCATGGAATAGTAATGGCAAATGTCTAGCCCATAATCATTCAAGCAACCTGTTGAAAAGTCTCAATGATATCTGTGAGCAGTAATACATCTGTTTTGACATACAGTCTCGTGAAATCACTGATGGTTTGGCACTGGAATGTTTCCCATAATTGCTGTGTATATGCATAATCTGCATCGTTGATACTTTGTTCACTGAGTGAACTGTAAAAGGTCTCTTTGGGAGGCAAAGATGTCTCATCTAAAGTGTTCCAGGATTGCATATATTCATAGGGAAAGTTTAGTTTTCTTGTGAGATGATGAGCCTTGCCTCCAAAATGCTCATTCAAATACACAAATGTATCCTCTCCTTTCTTCAGCTGATTTTGAGTTAGAGCCTCTAATGAACTCTGTAAAAATTTGTAAGAATCCAAAAAGACTAAATGTTTGTCAACAGTGAAGGACAGAAATTGCTCAGTGGTATGTGGTATGACAGTGATCTCACGATCACCAAATTTTTGTACCACCTCTAACAGCAGATGAGCATCATAATGTTCCAAATTGTGAAACATGACAACCACCTTCTTCCTTAACTGAAAATTTAGATTGCATTTATTATGCAAAACCTGACGAAATTTCCCTGACAAATGGTCATGGTCTAACACCCTATCAGATCCCAGCAGCTCTCCACACAATCCACAATGGGTTGTGCTAGCTATAAGACGTTGATCTTGTTCAGTGAGCTGCATAGGTTTAACAGAATCAAACAGATTCATAATTTCATCATATTCTTTCAAAATGTTTTCAATGAAATGTTCTGCAGCATTTTGACCTACATAAGTTTGAATAGGTTTAGAATATTGTTCATCAGTACACACCACCTTGTAGGCATAAGCACAGGGTACATGCCGATTCAGACGAGACGTATTTCCCTGTTCAGGCACTAATAAACTTTCAAAGTCAGCTACAATCAGAAACTTCGCTCTTTCAGTTTTGCTTTGTGATCTTAAACCAAACTGGTACACTGCTTCTTCAGGTTTAGGTAAATCAACCCTTTGTGCCTTTGTGTAACAGTACGTTTTGTGAGCTTCCAACCTTGTCTTGGATGAAAATGACCATAAACATTTTCTACAAACAAAGCACATGTTTTTTTCACCTTTTCTGTATCTGACTAAGCCATTCAGTCCAGTGATCAGACAGTAATGCATGTTTGGGCTCTTGTCAATCTCCATGGCTTCCTCATGGTCTTCTAATCCTAACACCCCTACAAAATCATCTGGTTCACTTTCTTCTGACAGTAGCAACAAATCCACCTGACTGTTTTTTTCTACATCCAGAACCTCACTGATGAACATTGGGTATAAGGTACCATCTTCAAAACCATACACATTGATGGACAACTGATTCACTTGTTCAAACCGAGGAATTTGTTTCAAGGACATAGGGAAAGTGAACCCTTCTAAATTCAGTTGATTCAAAAAGGGAAGGTAATGACTTTGTCTTTCTTTATGATGAGATGCTGGGTACAATTTGGCAAGAATGGATAAGGGAAAACATAAATTATTATCCTCATTTTTAACATTGGTAATGCAGTAAGTATGCTTTGCCAGTGCTGGTGGTAATGGGATGTAAGTACCTCCTCTAAAGGGAGCAAACTTGACCACAGTAAGTTTCAAAACCACAATGGCAGACTACAAGAACATGTACCTACCAGTGGTGTCAAGCACATGCGTTGAGTTGTAATCAGCGCCATCATCATCATCCATGACACCATCATCATCATCATCATCATCATCATCTTCGTCATAAGTATGTAGGTGAGAATCATCATCCTTGTCCTCAAAGGTAGGGGAGGGTGGATCTGTGCATAGGGAGAGCGGTGAGGTGATTGATACATAAAGATTCATACATGTTGTTACTTTTTGATAAATTGTGTCCTCTTCCTCATCATTTTCATTCTTTAAATTTACATGATCTAAATTTATATGATCTAATGATAAAGGTCTGATTAATTGATGTGATCGTTTTTTATTGACGACAAAACAAATACAACACACGATGAAACAAAACAGAACAACAACACTACCTGTTATGATGAGTGGCTTGACTGATGTATCTGTTGATGAGGGTGTATGTGTGGAAAGTGAAGGTGAGGTTAAAGAAAGAGTCGAGTTAGGATGACGTGAAGTGATAGGTGAGGATATGGTTGTTTGATGAATGAAAGTGCTAGTTGATGTGTCAGGCGGTGATTCAGTAGTTGCTGTGGTTTGAGTGTTATGTGTTAAAGTGATACTAGTTGGAGTGGTGGTAGTTGGTATGCTGCTAGTTGGAGTGGTGGTAGTTGGAGGGATAGTAGTTGGAGCGGTAGTGGTAGTAGTGGTGGTAGTTGGTATGGTGGTAGTTGGGGGGATAGTAGTTGTTGGTGCGGTAGTGGTAGTTGGTATGGTGGTAGTTGGGGGGATAGTCTGTGTAGTAGGAGTTGTGATGGGTGTGGGTAAACAAGAGGTGGTGAAGGTCGTGATAGGAACTTGAGTAGTAAACGTTGTAGGCGCCGACACAGGAGTAGTAGAAGTTGTATGTGGTATCGTAGTAGGAGTGTATGTAGTACTTGAGGAGGTTGAATTAACTACAAAACAACAAAGTTGTAAATAACATAGGTTAGTGATTGGAGAAATAATCATGGAATCAAATTATCATAATATGTTAATGAATTAGGTAAGTATCAAACAAGAATATAAAGAGGAAAATAAAATCATAAATAAAGAATTCAAAGAAGCGGACGTAATATATAACACTCTTCCTTATCATACAATTGTATGCATATGTGTGTGAGTGAGTGAGTGAGTTGAGTTTAACGCCGCACTCAGCAATATTCCAGCTATATGGAGGCGGTCTGTAAATAATCGAGCCTGGACCAGACAATCCAGTGATCAACAACATGAGCATCGATCTGCGCAATTGGGAACAGATGGCATGTGTCAACCAAGTCAGCGAGTGACCACCTGATCCCGTTAGTCGTCTCTTACGACAAGCTCAGTCGCCTTTTACAGCAAGCATGGGTTGCTGAAGGCCAATTCTACCCCGGACCTTCACGGTCGTATGCATATGTAAAAATGTAGGTGTTCAAATTTTAACAACAACAACAACAACAACAAAAATGAATAGATTCATCAATAATCTTATGTGTTCACACAATCTTGAAAATTGCGACAATAAACAACATGTATAACCACTATATATAGATTCAGATGTGTAGTACAGAAGTGTATCCTATTTGGTTGCTTTTACAGCAGTGTGATTAGTAAACATAAGCAAGAGTGTATCACAGTTTTAAAACCAGGGAAATAAAAAACACTTACAATAACACTGGCGATAGTTGACAGTAATGAGTCTTCCTCCTCTATCGCTATTGTTTTCCACACTAAGCACAGTCAGCTCTGTCTCCTTTGATGTACTGAAAACATAAGTATATATTTGTAATTCTCTATATGAAACATAGTTGTGAGGAACATGATATGAATAATTAAGATGATATAATTTGATATCAATGTTCCGTAAGAATATAGAAATAAACTTATTACCTTTAGGTCTGGAAAACGCGACAAGGCAATGAGCAGCTGGTCGTGTGGTCCATTTAGTTTCAAGTATTCGATACCATGATACACTTTTCCGTTTACATGCACCAGTTTATGTCCTGTAGCGATACATGTTAACACTTTGGAGGACACAGGTTTACAATTTCGTGAAAAAAGTTGTGATTCACCTGCTATGCAGGTGAACAACAACAACACGAGCACAACTAATGGTCTCATCATTATGACTGATTTTAAAATACTATTTAGAGGTTCTGAATACAAGTGATAAATTCACTATTATCCAATCAAAGTAGCTGCACGTACACCATTAAGTGAGCATGTGAATCTCGCTCACCATCGGTCAAAGATCAAAGGTGCGAACCGTAGATCTGTGACATCAAAGTACAAGAAATACCAAACTGTGCCATGCATTACACGTGTTATTGTAGCACAATCAATGTCTAACAGGAATATGTTACACTATGTTCCACAAAATGACAGGAATATCACATAACCTAACCAAGTTGACTTTATAAACACTTTATACGTCGCTCATATGAGCAAACAATGAGATAAATTTGACCTGGTAACAACCCTCGGTCGTTCACCGCTCATAACACGCTGACAAGATAAATGATATCGCAATACACCGGAAGACAGAATGTGATAACAATTAAACTGATGGGTGATGTAATTCTATTTTACAAGGTAACAACTATGAACAAAAATTAAGTTTTGATCTATATAAAACTTTCAACGAACAGAGTAAAGAGTGTATGTTAAATTTGATCTATTGGAATTAAAATTCACTTACCTTCAAGGAAACTGCTGTTGAAATGCTTCGATCTCCAACTCCGCCTCTTCTTTAATGAGCGCTTCCGCAATAAGCTTTATTCCATTGTAAGAAAAAGCAAATTGATTACCCGAAACACCGCTTGTAATAAAAAGCACTTTGTGTTCGAGATCGAACCTGAACAACAACTCACAGTTTTGTATCAAACAGGTATGCAGATCGTACTGTGATGAACTTATATTTGTACCTGAAATTTGAAATCGATCGTATGATTTCAGAATTTCTAACAAATACAATAACAATTTCTTCAATTGACGTTTTACCGTGTCACACAATATATATGTCTGTGAAGCTGGATTCTGAAGAACGAAACCAAGGTGATCGTCAATAAAAAACTGACTAGTCATAGTATAAGAGAAGCTAATAGTAGAGAATTTGTAGTCTACATTTCTTTATATAGCATAAAGTGAATTTGCAAAATTTATTTTTGAACCAACGACGCATGAGCATAATTTCAATAAAATAACTAGAATCGTGATCCAAATTTCACAACATTTTGTGTGACGACTTTTTACTGATGTCATAAACCCATCATATGATTTCAAAAAACACCACTAGTCATAGATAAATAAATGTAAAAAGTTTTCGTCCCTCACGATTTTATTTGTGATATTTAAAAATCGTGATTATGAACATGCTGTAAAAAACATTCCTTCGTCATGAGTTTACAACTAACTCAGTCACAAACATGACGTCAAATACATGCTTGAATTGACAGACATTCTTTGTGTGCTAGTAAGCAGACGTTTTTGTTGATATTCGGTATGCTCTGCTTAAGGTGAAAAAGACGACCTACATTACAACGTTATGTAAACATGCAATAACACGATGCGGGCATAGCTGTCAGGAGACTGTAATGTGTTCATTTTAACATGATTAACCCTTTTGTCTACGCAGTTAGGTGTTGTGTATATTTAAAAATGATATATAATGAACCGGATTAAAACTTATACAGGGTTAAATGATTTGCAAGGCATAAAACAAATTGAATAGTTATCTTCATCCAATATGTTAAGGCACAGTGATATAGCTACAATGAAAAGACAGTCTGTGGCATGTGGTGAATAAGTGCGATTAACCCTTTCACGCATAGTTACGTATCTGTTATCTACATGTAAAACTGTTTTTGAAGTGAGCATGATTAAATGGAGTGTAATACAACTTGCATTGCTTATTTTACATAAAACAAGGAAAAACTATAAGAATTTGATATTTGAATAGTAGGAACGTGTACTGACAAATGTCGTATCTATGGAATGTGAGTTAGCGCACCTGTATATACCTGAGAGGCAGCTGTAGGAATGTCGTTTCACCTCTATGGTTACTCCTACGCTCCTTAAGGAATGTCTTTGTCCTGCTCTATGCTCCTTAAGGAATTTCTTTTGAGCCTGTAGAAATTTCTTTTGTTGTAACAACTGAACCTATGGAATGTCATTCATAATGTAATGAACCTACATTCTTTAAGGCTGAGCCTGTAGGAATTTCTTTTGTTGTAACAACTGAACCTATGGAATGTCATTTATAATGTAATGAACCTACATTCTTTAAGGATGAGCCTGTAGGAATTTCTTTTGTTTGGTTCTGGAATGCTATTGTTTGGTTCAGGAATGCTATTGTTTGGTTCAGGAATGCTATTGTTTGGTTCAGGAATGCTATTGATTGGCTCAGGAATGCTATTGTTTGGTTCAGGAATGCTATTGTGTGGCTGTGACTGATTACTTATTACCTACTAGCTCTCCGCGTTGACGCTCTAACCACTAAACCACGGAGGCGGTCGGTTTAACATGGATTGCCAGACACAGTATGCTGATTCAACGGTTGTCTCCCAAAACCCCTACAGCCCAGTACCCCTACAATTAGTTAAAACAACACACGGCATTTACCTGTCGGGCATAATGAACTGACCCAAAGGAGAGATTACAGGGTAGAGTACACAGTGTGAGATTACGCTGCACAGAGTATACAGATGTATACAGGTGAGAAGGGAATAAGATTGTGCTATTGTTGGTAGGGTTTTTCATAATTCATTTTTAATAAATTGAGATGAAGTAATTGTTGAACTGGGTTTTTTTTAGCTTCCTGATGTACATAGTGAGTAGACATTTTGCAAATCATAATAATATCAGTTGTAATAGTGTTGGAGATAGTAGACTGAGATAAACAAGCATTGTCACTAAGGTGACATAATCCCCCGCCGCAAATTATCAAATCAAACTTATAAAGTAATGAAAGTTTAAGATGAAGTTAAATGTCAACAAAAACATTATCTTGCTCTTAAGTTGTTCAAACACACACATATTTTCAAGACTGACTTTGACCTTGACATGAATGTCATAGTGTATAAAATATGCAAAACTAGTACTAAAGAATTGCTTATTGAAAAACATTCAAGGGAGGTCTTGAAAGTCTATGAAGAAAATCCAGTGAACCGTACTTAAAATATGCTGACAATTCAGGTTAACATTCTGAAATCTTCATAGTGTCGTCGTGACCCTACAAATTATGTGAAGGTCACCAAAATTGACTGGGCCCTGGGCCTTCCCTAGATGAAGCTTGGTGTCAAATATGAAGACAATCCACTGAATATTTTTTGCGATATCTTGCTGACTCTTAACAAGCAATTTAACATGCCGAAATCTTCAAAGTGTCTCTGTGACCTTGAAACTTAAGTGAAGGTCACCAAAATCGACTGTGCCCTGTGCCTTCCCTGGATGAAGCTTGGTGTCAAATATGAAGAAACTCCAGGGAATGGTTCTGGAGGTATCTCGCTGACAAGCCTAACATCTAGTTTAACATGCTGAAATCTTCCAAGTGTCTCTGTGACCTTGAAAATTAAGTGAAGGTCATCAAAATCGACTGGGCCCTGCGCCTTCCCGAGATAAAGCTTGGTATTGAATATGCAGAAAATCCAGAGAACGGTTCTTGAGATAGCTTAACATGCAGGTAAAACGTGAAAGTCCCCTTGTGACCTTGAAATGAAGGTCAAGGTCACCAAACCTGACTTCGACCTTTCTTATTGTGTGACGAACCCAGGTACCAAATATGAAAAGAATCTAGTGAACGGTTCTTAAGATATTCCAATTCGTACGTACCTACGGACGGACGGAGCCTAATACTATATCGAGCCTAATACTATATCATAATAATTTCAGATGATTTGGGGTGGTATATACCAGGGGCGTTCAAAAAGTAGAAAAGCCATATCCAAGATTTCACACGTGTCGGTAATGTGGTTAACGAGATATTAGTCATCACAACACATTGGGGCATAATATGTCTTTAAAAAATTGCAGAACATGAAAAACAATCTGACATTTGGTACCTCTTGGATAATGGTATGCTCTGAGATAATATCATATAAAATATGTTCAGTATAATATTGGATGACTAGGCTCCCCCCCCAATATTTAAAAAATATTGAGTCCAGATATTCAAGCTGGCACTGTTTACAATATATTGAGATCTGACACTTGTGTGACCATTGCTTTTTTTTATTTTATGCACTTTAATGTCTAAGTTTGAATCTAGCGGACTTCTGCCTATCTCAAACACACAAAGTGTTTCTTTCACATTCTGTTTCCTGAAGTTTGTGATGCATTTATTGCAGAAATTGCAATTTACCAAGATAAAAAGTGAAACACTAGAAAAATACAACATAAAAACATTTACTATGTTATGACCATGATATTTAATGAAGTTAATTAAACCTCAAGTTCCATATTAATGAACTTTTGTTAAAATATATTGTTGGTATCTTCCATTCAAACCATTATCTCAAACTCTTAGTTTGGTAATAGGTAAATCATTGTCTTAATATCCAAGTGTTGGCCTGGTCCATTGTATGAAATAGGTAACAGGCTGGAGATTGGCAGTGCATTGGACCATGAACTTTGTTGTTATAAGCTGCAGGGGTTATTGGCTGTAGGGGTTTAGGAGGTTACCAATTCAACCATTGTTTCAGCCCTTGTTAGTTGAACAGGGTGACAAAGACCATCTTTCAACTAACGCTTAGTCTCTAAACATATATATTGAAAAGAAGCCCCAGTGAGAAGGGAGATTCAGAGCCTGAAGAAATCTAGACTTGCTTTATTTAGAGATTTAGCACTGCAGAAAGGGCTATACAAAAGTGAAAATTATGCAGTTCAGACAGACCACAGATTTTGATATCAAACCACCAACCATTCACTCTCAGGGCAGATACTATTAATTCGACCACAGAGGCAGTCGTGGTCTTTGGCCCCTTCAATTGTAATTTCATGTTTCACAGCCTTTCGGGACCATGTATGACCTCAAGGATTTCACACAGATGGGAGCGGTGGGGTGTTAGTGTTAATACATTCGTTCCCCACATGGGTACAGTGTGTGAAGCCTATTTCTGGTGTCCCCTGCCATGATATTGCTGGAATATTGCTAAAAGCAGTGTAAAACCAAACTCACTCACTCACACACAAATGGTACACTCCAGGATTTCACCAACATGGTCAAGTGTCAACATATAGCGTTCTTACCAGCTGAAACATCGTGATACACATATTTGTTTGTTGTTTGACGCTGGATATTCCAGGTATGGTGGCAGCATGCAAATAATCTGGACCTAACAATCCAGTGATTGATATCATGAGCACTGACCTACGTAATTGGGATAGTGTGATCTCCATTAACCTATGCTTGTTGTAAGAGGTGACTAACGGGATCGCAGACTTGGCTGATACATATCATTGTATCCCAATTGCGTAGATCAATGCTCATGCTATTGATCACCGGACTGTCTGGTCCAGGCTCGATTTACAGACCACCGCCATATAGCTGGAATATTGCAGAGTGTGGTGAAAACTAAACTCACTCACTAGTGTGACTGTATTTACCAAGCCACCAAGTCTGACCCCCAGATCTTTTTAGTCCCCCTTATAAGCATGGGTTGTTGAAGTCCAGTTCTAACCCGGATCTTCACGTTTGATATAAGAGTACATGTAATTGAAAAACTGTTGCAATACTCACACAACCAATCACAAGCCAACACTACATGGTAAATAACTTTTATTGTGGAAGACGGTGGGTGCATCATAAACGGCTCAATAACAAATGTAATCTTCCATGTAGACTCGTAAATATAAATACATTGTATTAATAGGTGTCGGGTGGAAGTGGAACATTGGTCACATGTAGACTTCCCATAGTCACTCCTAAACAGGAAAACTAAAGCAGAATCAAAGTTATAGACGTTTTTCTCTCGGTGTGACGAGCAACCACTTTACCCTCTAGGCTACCCAGCCACCCAAGGATGAATATTGGCCTCCGACAGGATCCAGATAAATCAATGTATGACGACCATACAACATACATGAACTCTCTCACAGGTTCAGTATGACAGTATAAAATCAGTATGACACACATGCAAGTGTAATAGTTACTTTAATACCTGTTATTTCTGATCCTTTTAAGGTCCAACTTAGAAACATAGAAGGACATGGCTGCTGTCATGGAAACAATTGTGGAATGACATTAAGTCTTCATCTCTGATGATGCTGTGATGCCTTTCCAACAAGATTCAAAAGACATTAGCAGTGCTGCCAGCATGGAGTAGACAATACACTTGTGTATGTGTAGTGATGTTTGCATTAGGGCATTAGTGCACATATACATATAATGAACTTGGTTAATTCTCAACCTACAGATAATAAAATGTAATATCCACTATTACTGCATATATAAAATATATTGCCATTTTCCCAAATAAATATTTCAACACTTTGAAAATACAATTCTACAAAATCTCCATATTCTTAGAAATTTACCAATTAATAACCCTGAACGAAAACCAGGGGTAAGTGTACTGTAGCTCTCCTCACACTTAGTGAACAGTTACAAATATATAAAAAGCTGTCAGCATTACTATTCCCTGCATTAATTGTGAGGCCAAAATTATGCAACAATAAACATACCATTTTCAAATATTATCTTGATGAGCAACACTTTAATTTACTTTTTACAAAGTTCTAGTCAAAGCCTTCAGTATCGTGGTGTGTTTCACCATCAGTGCTGAATCTTCATTCTAATACCAAATACATTAAACATTTTTATTCTCCATTTCTAAGCAAGATTTTTATAGTATAAACAAAGTCAAAATGAAAAGTTCAAACAAACGTCAAAATTTGAAATATTGTGTAAAACATAATGTCATATCAAACTTCATAGCGTTCTGGCCACAACGTTCAAGTACTGGCAACAAATATAATCATAAACATTCCATGGCAGTCATATTGAAAATTTGATCTACGCAACTAAACAAATTCAGGCATAAACACTGAGAAAACAAGCATGGAATATTCTGCTTCATTGGTCCAGTAGTGAGTGAGTATGGCTTTAAGCCACTTTTAGCAATATTCCAGCAATATAACAGCGGGGACACCAGATAAAGGCTTTACACATTGTACCCATGGCCATCTGGGGAATCTTATCCCGGTCTTCGGCATGACTGGGCTAACCCCCTGTCCCAATAGTCTCTGAGGGAAATTTGTTGACAGACATTAAACAAAGTGAGCAAAGGTGTGTAAAATAGTATAGTGCTGTTCTACTGCTGAATAACAGTTGGGCATTCATTACCCACTCGTGTGATTCCAAGACAAGCCTTGTTGGAGGTTACAGAAAGAGACGAGTGTTGACTAATTACCAGTTGCCATTTACACCCTGTAAGGCTGGTGTTCGGTCTGGTGTGGCCACTCAGTCGATTAACACCATCAAATCTGACTTGTCAGAACTACCGGTACTTCGTTCCAGTGATGTTCAAAACCTGGAGACTCTTCTGGTTTCTTAAAATGGGTAGTTGACCAATACATGTACCTGCTAAAGGCCATAGTTTTGCCAGGAGTGAGTGAGTGAGTTTAGTTAGGTTTTACGCCACTTTTAGCAACAAATGAACTATAAAACTTTATGGATGACAACTTCTGGTTTATTTGCGTTGAGCGACGTTTCGATGTAGATTCTTACATCGTTATCAAGCCAAGTTTCGACGTAGATTCTCACATATAATCTACATCGAAACGCGTCGCTCAACACAAATAAACCAGAAGTTGTCATCCACTAAAGTGTATGTTTCATTTGTTGACTCACCCAACTTCTAGAATGCCGATCAAACACTTTTAGCAATATTTCAGCTAAATCACTGCAGAGGACACCAGAAATGGGCTTAACCCATTGTACCCATGTGGGGAATCGAACCCGGGTCTTTGGCGTGACGAGCTAATGCTTTAACCACTAGGCTACCCCACCCCAGTTTGGCCAGGAATCAGTCACATGATAGTACAAATTTATTTATTAAAATATCCACAAAAATTTCTCCAAATCATTCTGGCTGCATTTTCATAGTGTAAATATTCAGTAGACCTGAATACTCCAGGTCTACAATATAAATAGAACTATCATTATATTTCTACAAGAACTAGCACTACAGTATAAGCAATATCATTACTGGAAATTGCATATAGAGACGAAAGTAGAAAAGTGACAAACGTTCATCTTGAGCATGCAAATATATAAAACATGTTCAAATATTGTACCTAAACTCTTTAGAAAATATTCTAAAATGAACATATTGCAAGAACAATGAAAATGTCAATTCTTTCCATTAAATAATATCAATTGAAATGTAAGGAATTGAGCAAAAAATTGCATAGGGCAGTTGTGTTCTAAACAAAGGAGAACATTAAAGAAACAAATACACTACCGTCGCCATGTAGCTAAAATATTGCCGAGAACGGCATTAACATGATTAAACAGCCAACCAACAAGCTGTAGGCATGACAGATTAACTACAGTGATATCACTGAACTGGGAGGTCCTTAACTTCTCTTGAGGAGTCTAAGAAGATATACTTTTGCATGCCATATGTAAGTGTCTAGGGGGAATATCATAACTGGCTCACAAAGGTTTGAATAAATGGAAGAATATATGCAAGGCCATTGGCCAAGCTGGTCAATCAATTTTTAATCTGCCTCCTCTGCAACCAGATTATATGACCCAATTTACTTCATACTCATTCAGATTTTAAAAAACTTCATGTACAACTCCAGGAAAAATGAAATCTGAAAAATAAGTAAAACTGAAATGCAGTTTCATTTTATTTTAGTAAAATGTTTTAAAAACCTAATGTATTTACTGTTTATATCAAAATATATAAATTCTAAAGAATGAAACATTTAACTTCAAAGCCACAAATCATGATGGATCAGTGTCTATAACAAAAGGGAGGTAACTCTAAACTTGCTTCTTTCCCTATTTCTCTCATCCTAACCTTTCCCTAACCTAACACTGAGAAAACCCTCAACAAATAATTGAAATTGGAATAGTATATTTCCCCTGACCATGTGAATTTGTTCACTCAAAACGCATATACCAAACAAGAAAATACATTGTCTTTCAGTTTCCATGAAACAATGGATAAGTTAAGACTGCCACTTCTTTTCTTTTCCACTATTATCATCAGATTTTCATTCCCACTGCGTCTCACCATTAAATGTGCATCACATCATCGTAACCATCAAACTGAGTGTGACTGACATTCATTACACTCACCAATCCGCTCTGCACAGACTAGAGTGAGTGAGAGTGAGTCGCGTGGATTTACACCACCTTTTAGCAATATTCCATCAACGCCATGGTGTTGGTGTGTGTGTGTGTGGGGAAGAAGAAGGAGGGAAACACCAGAAATGGGCTTCACACATTGTTGTACCCTTTAAGGGAATAGAACCGGGTCTTGGGCGAGATAAGTGTATGCTTTAACCACGAGGCTAACCCCACCTCCACCATTACACACACCACATACAAAGGTATACATGAAGTTAATGTGCACAGATGTTTTGAACTATCTTGTCGTACTCCAGGTATAATGCCATATTGTAACATATGCTATATTTGGGAATACACTTTCTTGGTAACATACAGATTCTAGTACTTTTCGAAGTTGCAGTGATTAGATCACAGACTTTATAGGCAGGCAATTAGGTGCCTGAGTCTGTGAGTGTGGGTTCGATTCCTGGATGGGACTCCACATCATAAAAGTACAAAAATCTGTACTTTACTGAGAAAATTTATTCCCAAATATAACGTGTTACATTTGACACTATCTAAATGCCATTGTGTATTAATATGTCATATCCTTCAAATCAAACCTAACTAAATACAGATGGATTACAAATTATAACCATATCAATAAAGCTGGGAAATTCTGCTATACATTCTCATCATTAACTGTTACCATACCTCGTCTATCTATTCTAAAACATGTTCTTCAAACATTGTTACTGTACATGGAGTTACCTTCTGCAAAAACAGAAAATGTAAATTAAAGAAATTATGAAAAAAATAAGAAGAAGAAATGTCACACTGTGAGAGCAGCAAATAGGCTCGTTCCTAATCTTGTATCACACATTTCAATTATCTCATTGCAGTCTTATCAACGTTTAGCACCTACTCTGAAGGTCAAACACAAAGACTTTCAATGATGGTCAAACCATCATACGTACTGTCAAACCACAAAAAACCCACTGATGTCAACTTGACAATGACCATTGTCCAGTTGTTCAAAAGGCTGTTACCCGTGAAGATCCGGGGTAGAATAGGTCTTCAGCAACCTATGCTTGCCACAAAAGGCGACTATGCTTGTTGTAAGAGGAGACTAATGGGATCGGGTGGTCAGGCTCGCTGACTTGGTTGACACATGTCATCGGTTCCCAATTGCACAGATTGATGCTCATGCTGTTGATCACTGGACTGACTGGTCCAGACTCGATTATTTACTGTCCGCCGCCATATAGCTGGAATATTGCTGAGTGCCGCGTAAAACTAAATTCACTCACTCACTCAAAAAGCTGTTATTTCCACGTACTGTTAAACACTAACAGCCCATTAAATAGCTAACAAAAAGTTAGTCAACAGTCTGTTAAAATTTAACAGGCTTCTGAACAACCGGGCCCAGTACTGTAATCAAAGGTTGAACAATCTAACCGAGTCTGTTGTCAGTTAAACTCAAGTCCCCCTGCCCTACATGTCGATGAATCTAATAACTAATTCATTGTGACCAAGCAATATTGTATAGTGTAAGGATAACAGTATTGAAAGAATAACTAAGTACACTAGGGGATAACAAATAGTATTGCACTGACAACTTTAGTGACTTGTCAATAAAATCTGAAGTACTCAGAGGAAGACTTGCAATATTGCATTTGTCAGCTGTCTTCATTAGTCCTTTCTCAAGACATTCTTCCACATATAATGATGTTGAGTGTCTCTGGTGTGTAAACACTAGATGTGTAATGATACAGAGATACGATATTGTATCCTGATACAGGCCCACCATCCAATACATCGATTTATACCCTGGTTCATAATACATACAATGCATTACACACTATAGTCTGTTTGCAGTGAAAACGTTCCGATGAATTTCACTTTAAGCAAAAACGTAAATCAAATAAAGTGAAATTAAGATTGTGAATCTTCATAATTTTACCTTGCCAATTGAACATTTTTAAAATCTCAAAATGTTATTCAACTTAGGATAAAATTTGTTTAACAAACGATCATAGTTTCAAATCGCTATTATTGGTTTGTATTACAAGGGGGTAAGCGCAGTAGTTGGAACAGCGAAACAAATGCACGTGCGGTACGTGATGAGCGTTAACTTAGACCAACCCTGCTTTTTCTCGGTGTTTCATGTAATGTGTAAACCCCCTTGTAATACAAACCAATATTATATATATTTGGGCATATGCACTCACTTTAGCTTCCTATCCTAAAAGACTTATTATCCCTTACAACTTGCCTGAAATTGAAGTTGTGCGTATGTTTTTCTCTAGGACTGAGTTCTCACTCCAAAGGAGTTATAGGATATTCGTAAAGAGCGCTCCAAGGGACATAATTCTATGGGGTTCACCTAAAATAATGTTCGGCCAGTAGAGGGCGCAAGAGTCAATTTAATGCAATGTTGCATTAATTCTTTAAAACTTTTTAATTTATTTTGTAATCAAAATATGTAATAAAAATTGGAATAAACTATATGGTAGCTTCCCTGTGGGCTGATAGTATTATTGAGAGAAATCCATTACTTATTTTTAGATAAGTGTGGTGTGAAATAATGCCTCTAACTTTAAATGGAATAAAATTCACAGAGCCCTCCAATATATATGTGCCCTCTGATCAGTATGCTATTATCAACCTCTGTAAATTATACACAAATTATTCGGGGCCGAGGATAGCAACTTCACAAATGAAGGTGCTGTATCAGGATACAAATCATATCACACCCATGG